TAATTACCTCAGCAATGTCGTCATGCGCAGGATCAACGTTTTCAGAAAGCCATTCGAAGAATGAAAGCGGTGACGAGGAATCTCCCTTCTAAAACAAGGTTTCACGAAATGTAGACGAGATAGAAATAAGGTAAAGAAATGGAAGAAGATGATAGTAACGCAATATATTTACCTTGCCCAAATTTTTGCCTTCCTTCCATCGTATCGTGGTACCAGTCGTTGAAGGAGTGTCACCGAGATTGTACTCTTTCTCAATCTTTTCATTCTCAAAGAACTCATTAGGCGTGAAGAAGAAACGCAAGCGGAATCCGCTCTTGATGTCATCGAACTCGTCAACCTAAAGGAGAAATGCATAAACTAAATTATCAGACTTTTTCGAGGGAAAGATTGCACCTTTAAGAAAAGTAAAAGTAAAATAAATTTGCTTCATGTTTAAATAGATGCAAGTTTATTCGAAATAAATACAAACATTTGATTGTACCTCAATATTGCTAAGATGGGCCAAAGCTTGTTCTTCGCTTTCATCTATTATAGAAGACAATTGTGGATGATTGAGGAACTAAATGCCAAGCGTAAAAGTGAAGTCTCTTGAACAGAATAGAATTAGGCTTCTAAATCACACATAAAATGTTGCGATCAGCTTTTCTAACCACATCTTTTTGTGATTATAGTGTAAACTCACAGCAGTACACCAAAAGTTGGGAATTTTCTTTATCATCTCACATCTTTTCTCGTATTGCGGTCGACGAAGCAGATTGTACTTTTGTTCCACCTAAATAAAAACTATAGACCTATACAAAATATTTGAAACATACAAACAGAACATATAGACTATGTAAAAGTCAAGAAACATGGAAAGATTAAACAGGATACTATTACTAAGCAATCACAGAGTATTATGATGATTCCCAATGATGTTGCTTGAACTTTTTCTGATACATCTTTCTCTATATTGCTTCCGCTAAACTATGAAGTGGTCTACCATTTTGCAACGTTTCACTAAATTCACACGTCAATAGAAAACCTTTGTTATAGCTTCAAGTGCAGCAAAGAAGAGAGACGAGCATAGTGAAAATTGACGTTACACAATTATGTATCATTGTGCAATAAAAGCTCTTAAGAGTTCTACAGAACCTTAACTTGCTAATATGTTAGCAATGAATTGCTGTAGTCGGGTAAAACACCAAAGAGGTGTACTCGTCGCTCAGCTAATGTCTGTAGAGCCGTAGTGTTACAAGGATTGTAGTAGCAAAATTTTTTGATATTAACGTCCCTTATAAACTTACTGGTTCTTCGCTCTTCATCTGCAGCTATCTACAGCTTCAGCACCATTTCAATAATCAAATTCTTACATGCACTCCCTACAGTGTGCAACGCATAGATGTCTTTCATTTTGGATGTCAAGCGTTATATCTCATCAAACAT